TACCAATCCTAGTTTGGGGGTGTGTAGGTACCTGTACTAGCAGTATGGGGAATGTACCAATCCTAGTTTGGAGAGGGGGGTGTAGGTACCTGTACTAGCAGTGCTTGGGAGATGTACTTACAGTCTAGTTTGGGGGTGTAGGTATCTGTACTAGCGGTATGGGGAATGTACCAATCCTAGTTTGGGGGTTAGGTATCTGTACCCCAGCAGTATGGGAGGCATTGCCAATCCTAGTTTGGGGGTGTGTAGGTACCTGTACCTTGGTATGGGGGCGTGCCAATCCCCTAGTTTGGGGGGGGTGTAGGTATCTGTACTAGCAGTATGGGGAATGTACCAATCCTAGTTTGGCGGTGTGTAGGTACCTGTACTAGCAGTATGGGGAACGTACCAATCCTAGTCTGGGGGGCAGGGGGTGTAGGTACCTGTACTAGCAGTATGGGGAATGTACCAATCCTAATCTGGGGGGGAGGGGGTGTAGGTACCTGTACTAGCAGTATGGGGAATGTACCAATCCTAGTCTGGGGGGGAGGGGATGTAGGTACCTGTACTAGCGGTATGGGGAATGTACCAATCCTAGTCTAGGGGGGTAGGTACCTGTACTAGCAGAATGGGGAATGCACCAATCCTGCTCTGGGGGTTGGGGTATGTTCTAGCAATATGGGGAATGTACCAATCCGAGTCTGGGGAAGGGGGGGTGTAGGTACCTGTACTAGCGGTATGGGGAATATAACAATCCTAGTCTAGGGGGGTGTAGGTACGGGGAATGCACCAATCCTATTCTGGGGGGGTGTAGGTACGGGGAATGCACCAATCCTATTCTGGTGGGTGGGGTATGTTCTAGCAAACATTTGTACCAATCCTAGTTTGGAGAGGGCAGGGGGGTAGGTTCTAGCAATATGAGGAATGTACCAATCCTAGTTTGGAGGTGTGTAGGTACCTGTACTAGCAGTATGGGGAATGTACCAATCCTAGTTTGGAGAGGGGGGTGTAGGTACCTGTACTAGCAGTATGGGGAATGTACCAATCCTAGTTTGGGGGGGGTGTAGATATCTGTACTAGCGGTATGGGGAATGTACCAATCCTAGTTTGGGGTTAGGTATCTGTACTAGCAGCAGTATGGGGAACGTACCAATCCCTAGTTTGGGGTGTGTAGGTACCTGTACTAGCAGTATGGGGGAATGTACCAATCCTAGTTTGGGGGTGTATGAGTATCTGTACTAGCAGTGGGGGAATGTACCAATCCTAGTTTGGCGGTGTGCTTGGGGTACCTGTACTACTTGGTATGGGGAGCGTGCCAATCCTAGTCTGGGGGCAGGGGTGTGGGTACCTGTACTAGCAGTATGGGAATGTACCAATCCTAATCTGGGGAGGGGTGTAGGTACCTGTACTTACTAGCAGTATGGGGAATGTACCAATCCTAGTCTGGGGGAGGGATGGGGTACCTGTACTAGCGGTATGGGGAATGTACCAATCCTAGTCTAGGGGGGTAGGTACCTGTACTAGCAGAATGGGGAATGCACCAATCCTGCTCTGGGGGTTGGGGTATGTTCTAGCAATATGGGGAATGTACCAATCCGAGTCTGGGGAAGGGGGGGTGTAGGTACCTGTACTAGCGGTATGGGGAATATAACAATCCTAGTCTAGGGGGGTGTAGGTACGGGGAATGCACCAATCCTAT